CGTTTGACAGCTGAAGAATGATGGAGATTGCGCCTTCAGAGGAATGTCAATGTCTTTCAAGCATGTGGGGATCGAATAGGATCACGAAGACCAATCTCTTCACAAGGTCAGGAACAACCGCATGCATTGAGTAGTGCGGTAAGGTATGTCTTTCTCCGGCGATGCTGCGTTCGGTTGGGGATGCATCATGGTGCGCTAGTTGATGCAACACACCTATTGCAGGGATTGGGGAGCTTAAGAAGCATGTGGGACAGTGACGAGGGACAGTTGGAGGTGACGGAGGGAGGAGTTGAGAAGCGAAGAAGCACTCGTAGACAGAAGAGAAACGGATCATAGCTAATTGCTTCCTGCGATCGAGTACCTCACTTCTAAGTTGGGCTCTTTTGTTCATCTATCGCTGTAATGTTTAGTTGTAGTTGACTCCATCTTTTTTATTTCTTCGTACAATTATTGGTACGAAGAGTATCTGGGAGAAGGAAGGTACGTGTACGGAGTCCCCCGTCACTGCTAACACCTTTTGTTAAACCCTGCTAAATATGACTCTAATATCTATACTCGGACTAGTGCATTACTAGCTCATCGTGCCGGCCCGAAGTCCGGAACCCCCGGTACTTGCCGTCAAATGGACCCAGCACAGACTGCCACTGGATGCATCAACACCGCCAAAGCAGATATTAGCAACAGTCAGAAACAAGTCGTGTGAGCTGGTATTGGTTCTCGAACTTCGTACAACATCTGCCCTCATGATATCCGATGTCTCCAAATCCGCCCAGAAAGTTTTGGTTGCGGTGCCAGGAATGTAAGCCTCGCACTCGCCCCCTCACTTTGGCTTCGCAATCCCTTTTGCCACATCAATAACGTGAATGTTCACACTTCCACCCATTTAGCCCATGTTTCTATCCTGACCTCTCTATATTCCACCTCGCCCACTATTTCTCCAACGCCTTCTGTTGCGCCTACAGTTGTGCGATCACAACCTACTCCCGGCGGTCCGGCAATGTGCCACACAATCACTGGCGACCAGCACCACGAGCCAGATTTGGAAGCTGATGTTCGTTATCATCTAACCCTATCCCAAGTAGTACTAATAGAGGTCTAGTCCGACCCCAGTGATGGAGATTCAGGCTACGGCGGCTCTATTGCAGGGTCCTGGTCAGCTTCGTTAGCAAGCTCGGTTCTCAACTACCGGTATGAGAATGGCCGGCGGTACCACGCCTATCGCGAAGGCCAGTATATCTTACCCAACGACGAAGATGAGCAAGCACGGCTAGATATGCTTCACCACATCTATAAGCTAATTCTGGGGGGCTCTTTATCTCGCGCCCCATTGAACCAGCCTCAGCGTGTCCTCGACATGGGCTGTGGCACCGGTCTTTGGTGCATCGAGTTTGCTGATGACTTTCCCGGCGCCACCATCGTTGGCACTGATCTCAGCCCGATTCAGCCCGGCTGGGTGCCTCCCAATTGCAAGTTTTATGTTGACGATTTCGAAAGCGAATGGGCGTATCCTCCCTCGGAGCATTTCGATTATATCCATGGGCGGTCACTCTGCGGGAGCGTTGCCGACTGGCCCCGGTTGTTTACCCAGGCTTTGTCTCACTTGAATCCGGGTGGATGGATGGAGATGCAGGAGTATCACTGCCACGTGTATTCCGACGATGATACGCTTGACCAGGCTATCTATCTGAAGAATTGGGTCGAGGAGATGAACGAAGGGAGCATGCGATTCGGCAAGGAACTGAAAACCGCAAACAAATTGAAGAACTACATGCAGGAAGCCGGATTTGTCGACATCCATGAGGAGGTATACAGGTGTCCCATTGGTCCCTGGGCCAGAGGGAAGAGGTACAAGGAGCTTGGAACATATTACCGCGCGCAATTTGTCGATGCTGTCGAGCCATTCACATTGGCCATGTTCACTAGGATCTTGGGCTACAGCATCGACCAAGCCCTGGTCACGATTCAGCGAGTCAAGCAGGATTTGATCAACCCCAGGCTTCATCTTTATGTCCATTTCCACTTTGTGTGGGGAAAGAAGCCTGGATAATCAATTCCAGTCGAGCGGGTCGTTCATCAGCGGTTCCATGGCGGTCTATGCCTGAAACCGGGACCATTGAAGCATCTGACACAAAGCTTCTTTACAGTCAAATCTGCTGTCCACCAGTCGAGTGCCGTCCTCGCTCGTGACGCAGTGCGAGCAACATCACAAGATGATACGACCGGGATCATCTGCAAGACACTGCCACAAATAAGTTTCAGAGGCTATCGAATCTTTTTACAGTTGCGCCACCGCCGACATGCTGTCAGACAAACCCTTAAACGCAATCAAAATCAATGTCCATCACAAACACTAAGAAAATCCTCCATAGCTGTCTCAAAGCAAAAACAGCCGCGAGTTGCAGGATCAAAGAGACAACTGTCGAATGGCCATTTCCGAGGATCTCACTTGCGACCAAGTACATAAGTGGTCGCTGATCTTGTTGTCCCACTACCGAGATAGTCGAGAAATTCCGGGCGACAAAGCAGGACATCGGATTAGTTAGCCCGACTTAATACATACCTTGTCACGATAGATGTCCATGATCCTGAGCTGTGGCATCTTCTCTGTATTCGGAACCCTACTCGGTACTTCACGTGGCTTGGCAGCGAATTGGGGTTTCAAATGACACAATCCTCTGTCTTTCCAAGACCACGTCCCAAAATAGGCTAGTCGCGATAAATCTTGGCAAGGGCCACAACCAAATTCCGATTATTCTTTTCCACCGTCCGCACTCACAGACCTTACGTGGATTGTCACCTTTCTCTCTCTACATCGAAAAATCAAGTCAAGATGGGTCGCGGTCCAAAGAAGCATCAGAAGCGTCTCAGTGCGCCCTCGCACTGGCTTTTGGACAAGCTCTCGGGTGCCTATGCTCCCAAGGCATCCCCTGGGCCTCACGTTGGTCTTCCCCCTCCAAGCATCTTCTGGCTTTTGCATTTGCGCATTGACTGTTGGAAATGCTAACAAGGACAAAAAAATGTACAGAAAAGCCGTGACTGCCTTCCTTTGATCGTCTTCCTCCGCAACCGCCTCAAGTACTCCCTGAACAATCGCGAGACCATGGCCATTCTGATGCAGCGCCTCATCAAGGTCGATGGCAAGGTCCGCACCGACATCACCTACCCTGCGGGCTACATGGATGTCATCTCGATTGAGAAGACTGGAGAGCACTTCCGTCTCGTCTACGATACCAAAGGGCGCTTCGCCATCCACCGCATCGAACAAGCTGAGGCAGAATACAAACTCGGCAAGGTCAAGAGAGTACAAGTTGGCAAAGGAGGAATCCCATACTTGGTTACGCATGATGCTCGCACGTAAGTTCACACGCCTGCATCTATCAGCCGTTGGGCCAAGCTTTGGTTGGAAAAAAATATATGTCAAGAAGCTGATGTGGATTAATAGTATCCGATACCCCGATCCGGCTATCAAGGTCAACGATACTGTCAAGATTGACCTCACCTCTGGAAAAATTACCGACTTCATCCGATTCGACACTGGTGTGATCGCCATGGTCACTGGTGGTCGTAACATGGGCCGTGTTGGTGTCATCACTCACCGTGAGAGACACGACGGTGGCTTCAACATTGTTCACATCAAGGATGCAATTGACAACTCATTTGCAACCCGAGAGAGCAACGTTTTCATCATTGGCAAGGAGAAGCCGTGGATCAGTTTGCCCAAGGGCAAGGGTGTCAAGGTAAGTCTCACATGCATATCTTTCTCGCTTGGCTCATGCTTACGGTGCTTCTACAGTTGTCCATTGCCGAAGAGAGAGACCGCCGCCGTGCTGTCCAATTGGCCAACCCTCGAGTGTAGAGTGTCTTTACTCATTCGAAGCAGGCGTCAGGCTTCTGGGGAGGCATGGAGGAGAGGATCCTTGGAGAAGAAATGTCTTTTGTGCAAAACATAAACGCAAAATTCGTGCCACTGTATGCTCAGGGCAGAGATACCCCGAGAACCTTCGGCCCATATGGCTGAAAAGGCAATGCCAAGATACCTAAAAGATCTCGTAAACGTCTTTTCCTGCTCTGATTCCTCCTTCTATCTGTTCTTTTTGGTGGCATTCTCGCGAGTCCCTAGCCGCCCGAACATCCCAGTCACAGTCATCAACCTGTTCACATGCAAGAACGCACTGACTCCAATATTCGAATATATCATCACGTTCCACTGGTTCAGGTCCCAGAACACCTTGTCCCCAAGCGCGCAGTATATAGAATATATGTGACCCAAGTCGGCCAGAGCCACCGCAATCAAATACCTCCTTGCAATCTCAGCGTGGGTGGTGAAGCAGCAGATGACCGCCATTGCCGCGAGGAGAAGAAAGACATTGCCCAACTGGAGAGTCAGGGAGAGGGCATTTGGAGTGAAGAGAAGATCCGTTATGGTAGTGTTGGGCGCTTGGTCGGCATAGTACTGTTGAGGCTGGAAAAAGGTGATGAAATAGGCCCACGTCCTGTCCTCCGTACCTACATGTCAGCAAAGAGCACTATCGATCCCGAAAGTGGGCAAGAATCGTACAGCGACGCAGGTTCCAAGATGCCAAAGAGGACCAGCGGCCAGACTGGAAGTGCAGAGAGAGCCATGGTCTGGCTGTATACCAGTGCGCACGTAGTCAGCGAAACGGTAGCAACAGAGAGAAAGAGGTAATGGAGTAGATGAAGCAACAAGCTGATGCTTCTCTTGTACGCTCACCTTGTTTCAGGCGTTCCATTTGCCGAGTAGGTGTTGAAGTTGCAACTCGTGCGGGCGTGGGGATGTGGTGGATGTGGACGCTCCGGCTAAAGTTCGGAAGCGTTTCTAGCGGTTTGTTTGTTGACATGGCCAGCAGGTTGCCCAATCAACTGACTTCATCTGCATCTCTTCTCGTCTGCATTACATCCCTTTGTTGGAGACAGCAGACCTTGCACGACCGCATATTAACGGACACAGGATAGACAGTGCAGACACTACGACAGCAGCAATGGCCGCACCTGTCGCCGCAGACAGCGACCTCATTAATTTCGACATTATAGAAACCCACAAGGAAAACATCCAGTCTCTCCCTGGCGGCCGATCAGTCAAGCAGCTTGCCTCAATATTGTCGCCTCTTTCCTCCTCCAGGGGTTTAGGCGCAAGCGCAACTCCGACTTTGGAAGAGACAAAAACACTCAACGACGCCATCCGACAAGAATATGAAATCGAACTCCAATCAATAGCGGATTTGGACGACCCTCTTGATATTTATGACCGATATGTCAAATGGACGCTGAACGCATACCCATCAGCCCAATCAACACCTCAATCTCAGCTTCTGCCGCTGCTGGAGCGAGCCACGAAGGCTTTCCTCACCACAAACCACTACAAGAATGACCCGCGCTACTTGAAATTGTGGCTGCATTATATCCGCTTCTTCTCGGACACACCCAGAGAGACCTTTGCGTTCCTTGCTCGACACGGTATCGGTGAAGGACTTGGGCTGTTCTATGAAGAGTTTGCGGCATGGCTGGAAACCGCAGGGAGATGGGCACAAGCGGACGAAGTATATAAGCTGGGCATTGAGCGGGAGGCCAGACCCATGGAAAGACTGACGCGGAAATACGCTCAGTTCCAGCAGCGATTCGATGCCAGGCCGCAAGCAGACGATGAGCCCAGCTCCCCTGCGCTGCCCACTGTTCGCCTGGCCCTCGCCGCCAAGGTTGATCCGTTTGCTTCTGCCCATCGGAATGACGACCCACAAGCAGCACGGCAGAGGAATGGGATAAGTGCCAGCTCTGCACCAACGTCGCGCTCCGGAAAGCCCAAAATGGCCATTTTCTCGGATGCCGATAATGCTCAACAGCAGCAATTGAGTACAAACAGCACGAAAGGTTGGGATACCATCGGGTCAATGAAGGATCGCAAGAAGGAGAACACTATCGAGGCTCGATCATGGGCGGGAGAGAAGTTGAAGGCTGGAGGGAGAGTCGGGTCGGTCCAAAAAATGGAAATATTCAAGGATCCGGTATGATTGACCTTTTTTCATGTCTAGTGCCAATCAATACAATCTGAACTTTTGGACTACTATCAGGACTTTGGTCTTGTTCTTCCCCTTGATGATAGAGTGACTGACCGATTTCGTGGAACCCTAGGCATCACGAGTACAGGGACAATCCGCACGGTCGCTGTCAAACCAAGACGCACAGCAATCGCATCAAGTCGTCAATCCACGCACCGGTCGAGCCGAACGGGTCTTCGTAGACCTTGAAGCTATCTACCCGGCCGACACTGACCAAGAATTCAGCTTCGAGGAGCTTCGAGCCATGTCTAGAGGCTGGGCCCAGAAGGACTGGAGACCACGAGAAGAAGAAACTCCGTTGAAACCAACTGCCGCCAATGCCTCGATGAACGTGAGGTCGAAGATCAACAAGTCTCGAGAGCCGGAGGATATTGAGAATCTTACACACTCGTTCTCCGATAAGATCGACCTGAACAGCGGTGCCACCTCCAGCCTCAGTGTTCACGATGTGTCGACCCAATCTATGGTCGGTATGCCACAGTCAGATTCTCAGCCGGCATCCAAGCCGTCGAAACAGAAGGAGAGGAAGATGAAGATTAGAGAAGTCAAACAGGAGACGCAGACGGTCAAGACTCGACTGGAATCACCCACCGGCAAGAAGTTGAAGCGCAAAAATTCCTCGCAAGAGCCAACCATGACGTTTCACTCAAAGGCTGCCACGAACGAGATATACGATATGTTTAACCAGCCAATCCGCAGACCAGCAGGAGCCAGAGAGGATAGTCAGAGTGGCGATGAGACCGATTTCACTGAAGGGGAAGTAGACGATGGGTATAGCACTACAGGGGACGCCGAGAGCACAGGAACCGGTCGAGTGTCGGCTCCTAGTAGTGAATTTGGTGACGATACATTAGCATCCATCAGAAAATCCTCACAAAGTCAAAGTCAGTCTGAAAGCGTCTCTCCTTGGTCCGACTTCACCGCCAGCAGACACGTCCCACATCTTGATTTAGCACATGTTTCCGGTGTCAAGGACAAAGCGAGCTCGACCAAGAATCAAAGGAGAGCGAAAACCAGAGATCATTCAGAGGACATGACAGAGAACATGGACTCGTCCAGCCAGAACCAAACGCAGACTTCTGGGTTTGGAGGGTTTGACACCCAAGCGATTGCTGCCATTGCTGAGGGCAACTTTGACGACCTAGACACCAAAGCCATTGCCATGATGGCGGGTGACATCGATGAGGGTGCGACAGACGCTGGGGATATCGATGTTGTGCAAGATGTCACTGTTGCCCTGTCTGCAGACCAGGCCGCACTAATGGATGAGCGTGCGGAAGATCTCGAGGCTTTGAACAATGATGCCAACGATGTCGCCCTCGCCACCCCAGTTGACATCGAGTTCCCCGAACATCAAGAGATCTCACACAAACCTCGCTTTATCCCCATTCCACCTATCGACTATGAGCCGACCCCGATTCGACCTTACCGTGACCCGGCGATGCTGGCACAAAACAAGATGCCGTTCATGACACCAATCGCAGAGCGAACCGAATCTTCACTTGCCCCGTCGACTGTTTTCAACGCACCCGAATACTTCGAGTCCAAGACCCCTAGCAAGTCCAAGTACGAGAGCCCGTCGAAACTCGGGGTTGAGGATCTATTCCTGAGCAGCCCGCAGCAGGAGCTTGCGACGCCAACGTCTGCTTCCCCAGCGGCGAAAAGAAAATACTGTGAGACTGGCGCGACCGAGGATGAGCTCACCACATCCTCACCACAGAAGAAAGGACCCCGCAAGCCGACGGACCCATATTCCTCGCCCGTTCCCCTGCCCACCACGAATGAGGAGACCTTCAAGACCCCAGCTTTGCCATCGAAACCGACTGTCAGATCACCCCTGTCAAAGATTCAAAAAGGCCCAATCATCCCAGACCTACAATGCAATCCGTGCGACGATGCAGTCCGAAACCAGATCCTTACCTCTGTCTACCCGCCCCTCTCCACCCAAAAGGGGTATTATGATCATTCGAGCATCACTCTTGGACGCTATCCTGCCTTGAAGTCTTACGCTGAAAAACAAGCAAAGTCAAAAGTGAAATTCAGTCCCAGAAAGAGTCAGAACGAGAAACCCCCAACCAAAGCAGTTCCCCCGATCCTCAAATTCGGTGAGACAACCCGAGTTTACGCAGTCAAGCGAGAACTGGGCGAGGGGGCGTTTGCGCCGGTGTATCTGGTCGATAGTTACGACCCAGCCGAGAATGAAGACACAGACGACCATGACAAGGAGAACCAGACGCCACCGTCGTCTCAGCTTACCGATTCATCCCGTCAACCGCTTGAAGCTCTCAAGACCGAGTCCCCGCCGGGCACACTGGTCTGGGAATTCCACATCGTCCGCTTGATCAAACAGCGCCTCGGTTCGGCTGCGCGAAGCATGCAGTCCATCATCCTCGCTCACGAATGCCATCTCTACCGCGATGAAGCCTACCTCGTCCTCTCTTACAGCCCGCAAGGGACATTGCTCGACCTGATCAATATGGCACGGAGCGAGAATGTCAAAGCCGGTAAACCTGCGGAGGGTTTAGACGAAGTGGTGGCTATGTGGTTCAGTGTCGAGCTTCTGCGGACCCTGGAGGACCTCCATCGTGTGGGCATCCTCCACGGCGACTTGAAGGGTGACAATTGCCTCGTGCGCTTCGATACCACCATGGATCTGACAGCGCCATTCCAGGCGGAGGGACATCACGGGTGGCAATCTCGGGGCCTGAGACTGATTGACTTTGGCCGCGGCATCGATACACGCATGTTCAAGCCCACCGCACAGTTCATCGCCGACTGGCCTTCTTGTCCTCAGGACTGTACCGAAATCCGCGAATGTCGACCCTGGAAGTGGCAAATTGACTATCACGGGGCAGCAGGGGTGATCCACTCGTTGTTGTTCGGTAAATACATCGAGACAATCCCAGCTGGAGGCAGTACGCTCGCAGGTCCGGGTCAAAAGAAGGAATGGAAATTGAAGGAGAACCTCAAGCGATACTGGGAGAAGGATATTTGGGGAGATGTGTTTGCGACATTGTTGAACCCGGGCTGCGTGGCTGATGGGGAAGAAATGCCAATTCAGGGGAATTTGAAAAGAGTGAGGGTGATGATGGAGAAGTGGCTGGTGGATGAGGGCGAGCGAGGTGGTCGGGATCTGAGAGCGAGCTTGAGACGGATGGAACGGTTGGTTTGCACGAAGTGATGGACCTGGTTTTGATTTCATTTATTCCTCAGATGGACTTCGAAGATATGGGAGGATCACAACTGAGCGAGGCGTTGGGGGCTTGTGCGATGTTGGATCAGGGATAATGTTGGAAAGTCACGAACAGGGTGGTATTTCTCGAGAGACATGGATTTGCAAAGGGCGCATGGCACAGAGACCAACATACTAGAGCGCTTTTTGAGCGAGTGAACAATGACAATGACGCCGAGAAAGCAACTAATCCCAGAATTCATCTTGTTCCAAGCAGCAATTGTAGACGTAGTTGATATCGAGCACTCGATTGCTTATTGTCCGCGTGGCCACCGTTTGGAGATGCGGAGGGTTTGGTTGATGCCTCATGTACGAGTAGACAGTGTGTGCCGAGTACAGTACAGAAAAGCACATATGTGTCTGCTAAAGGGCACACGAGAGATCACGCAGGAGCAGGAGGAAGAGGATCCAACGGATGTGGAGGAGGCAACATCAACCCGCATTATCGACCCCGAGTTTTGTCTTCTTTCTCCAACACACCAAGGCACGCACGTTGCGCCGATCTCATGATGATGACATTGACTTTCAGTTTTCTCCACAGGTTTCCAACAACCGCCCTTGCGAAAAAGGAAGGAAAGAAAAATTGTCCCGCCTCTCTCTCGCCCTGGGGCAGCCCGAAGAGGGAAACCGAGTTTATTTGATGATAGGTAATAATAATCTGGCAGATACCGTCCGACTCTAATCTTTTATATATTTCTTTTTGGTCAATAATACCTAACTCTCTCACGTACACTGTGCCAGCCACCCTCGCACATACTTACCTACGTACCTATCTACCTACTCCCGGATACATATCACATAGCTACTCGTAGCTCTCGAAGTGGATGAAATTGGCTTCTCGATCTTATCCTCTGTGCTCCCCATCACATCCGGCGGCCGCGCGCGGGGCCGACAAAACTCACTCCAAGCGTTGAAACCGATTGACTGGCACACTGACTAGACTTGGTTGCACGATGCCGCCTTCACTCTGCTGACATTGACTGAGTTGAGCGAACAAAACAGGATTCGCGGTGATCCTGATCTCTCTATATTTATCGGTGTATCTCCTCAAACCTGTTCCAGGGAAGGACAGGAAAAACACCACACCACACCACCCAGCGCTTGGGACCAACGGATATATCCGGCCGGCTGGTGCGCGTGCCCTTCCTCCACTCACTCACTCACTCGATCGACGGAATTGTAAAAGAGGAGGGAGAGAAAAGAGAACGCATACACATATACGCACACACGGAGAGAGACAGACAGAGACACCACACATACCCCTCTACGTACCACTGCGGTCGTGTTACTTTTTTGTTTCACCACTTCATCAACTCCCGAAGTCGGAAACCACCCGCCTACCCGCCTCCTTCTTAGTAAATCAATCCCACTCTAACCTCTACCGATTTCCCCCTCCAGACTCCTCTAGCAGCGTCGCTACCTACGCAAACATCTACGTCGTTGACTTTGCGACTGACCGGAGAAGATAATCCGAGAGATCTCGCGTCCCCGCAGTCGAAAGGAAGAGCCGAGCGAGCGAGCACAAGTCTCGTCCGAACAGGCGGGGTCCGTCCGATAAGGATTTGAGGACTCAAAAGCACACACGGGAACACACGAACAGATTGACAAAATATTATTATCATCCTTTCTAAACAAACAGTTTTTTTTTTTAATATCCCAACGTTAAAACAATGGGCGACGCCGGTCCTTTGACGCCAGACCCGCTCCAGCATGACGGCAGTGCTGGAGACGATGGTCGCGTTGAAGCAGATGGTGCGCCTCCCTTGAGGGAGGTCAAGGTTCTTGTTACAGGTTTCGGCGTAAGTTCTTTTTCTCTCCTTTGTCTCTCGATCGGTCGATCAGGGGATTGTTTAGATCTCTTTCGCGATATCGGGCTCTGAGCTCCAACCTTTGTACATATTTGATGCTGCAAAGCAGAGAATGTGGCTGAGGGGTGGGAGGCAAGACATGGAAGTGTCCCTTAAGCTCATCGAGACGATGCGGCTGGCTGGAGCAGGGAGGGCACTCGTTGATGGTGTCGATCTATCGATCTATACCCTCCCGAGTTGCTGTGCAAGGCGATTGTGTTACCTTGATTGTGGCCTTGCGTCTTGACCCTGGATTCTGGGCTTCCCAAACCATGTCCTTTTGTCGTACCTTTATTTGGAGGCCTCATGCTGATAATCATCCTCGGTCCATTTTAGCCATTTAAATCTTTCCTGATAAATCCCTCGTGGTTAATCGCCTCGGCCCTGCCCGAGGAGCTTTATCCCTCGCCAGCGACCGACACTCCGCGTAAATCACCAGACTACAAGATCAAATTGATCGTTCATCCCTCCGCCGTCCGGGTTTCATACTCGACCGTCTCGACCACCGTACCCACCCTCATCGCGACGCACAATCCCGATTTCATCCTGCACATTGGCATGGCCGGCGGACGTGACTGCTACTCCCTTGAGATCCGCGGACACAGGGACAACTACCGCATAAAGGACGTGGACGACTGCGATGGCTTCACCTGGGGGGAGAACCGGTGGAGGACCGAGGGGATCCCAGAGGTGCTATATGTCGCATGGGATGAGGTCGACGTGCTTAGTCGGTGGGAGGACGGTGTACAGGGGGGACTGAGAGAGCGAGGATTCTTGGGCACGGGAGAGATGGACAAGCCATTGGCGGACTCTGGAAAGGGGGTGAACGAGGCCGAGACGCCCACCAGCGCCACGCGAGCGGTCCCGATCACGCCCATCGGACTCGGACGAGCAAGCGTGCCCAGGAATCTGATGTGGGGGACAAGTAACATGCCCGTGTCGTCGACCAAGGCGGACGAGCATCGGAGAAGAGCCGTGGTCAAGTTGTCTTGCGACGCCGGCCGGTTCCTCTGCGAGTACGCCCTGTTTGAGAGCTTGAGTCGGAGATGGCTGGAGGCGCAGAGACGAGGAGATTGGCAAGCCACGAGCCACAAGAAGGAAACCGAATCGGTGTCCTCGTCAGCTTCACCTGAGGTGGTGAACAACAACAACAACGCCTCCTCGTCCTCTGTTTCAGATCCGTCGCGGTCCGACTCAGATGACGAGGCCACAGAGCGCGTTGGCAAAGTGGCTTTCCTGCACGTGCCTGGCTGGACGGGCGTCGAGGACATCAATCGCGGCGTGATGGTCGCTGAAGAGGCGATCCGCGCGTTGATTGGCAGTTGGGAGGACGGGTACAGGCGGAACGGGACTGGTGGGAGGAGGGTGGTGGGCACTCAGGCCTTCTCGTACACCAAGCAACATTCCGAGGAAGCTGGTAGGGTCGCATCATCAACGTGGAGAGCCTGAGACAAACCGGTCTGAAGGGTAATTCGTGCATACCTACGAGTAAGGGGGGAAATGTGGGATGGCATAAGGCATAAGGTTTCGGGAGCACAAGTGGACCACTGTCCCAGGGATGTGATAGATCGAGCAAGCAAGTTACTTGTACATGAACCAAGGATGTGACGACTTGTACAAAGGAACCGATGGATGAAGGCACGAAAAGACGTGATGATGATGACGGGGCGCGGGTTTAGTCGTTAATCTGGTGTCGCAGATGGTGAAGTCTAAACCCCACCAGCTGACTAGCAAGCCAGCTGTCCGTGCTGTCTTTGGGTTTGGGTTTTCAGCGGGACGGGTGAACTCTGTCGCCTGTGTATTCTCCGTACAAAGTAGGTAGTATGTAGATACCTCGTGTCCCTCGTGTCTCGTGTCGGTACAAGGTATCGAATCAAATCAAATCGATCTTGCTTCGCGTTCACGGATATCCCTTTCCGTCAACCGAGGAAAATGGTTTCACTGTGGCTTGGATGGGAAAACATGAGATCGGAAACCCAGCCTGGCGACGGGATATCATGCCAGCTAGGCTAGGCCAGATCATTCTTGCCCTGCTCAGCACGTTGTGTCTCGTTTGTGCAAAAGAATTCACCAAGGCCTTTTGCTCTGCTTTGTCAAAGAACCTAATGGCAAAAGAATACCTTACTTCGCATCCCATGCCACCCCCCAGTATCCGTTCTAGGGAATGCTGACGTCGTTGAGTCTCCGGCCATAGTTAACCAAGGTTTTCCGAATTGTCTCGTGTAACCTGTCAAGATATTACGAGGAGAGATGGCGGCAGGCTGGTTGTTTGCTCGGCAGGCTTCTTATGCAAGGGATGCTTGTACAATTACCCCGGGTCCTTGGTCCTTTGGTCATTTCGTTGACTGTTGTCACGACCAGCGATGTAAGGGCCATGAGAGACAAGTTGAAACAAAGGGGTATTGTTTGCTTTCTTTTTCTTCTCTTGGGTGCATCGTGGAGGTGCAGATTGATAAACTCCACCTTTCACATACATACCTCGGGTACCTACCTAGGCAGGCAGACGGGGTCGTGTTTGTTTACTTACCTCCTAAGAGGTACATATTTCGACGAGACGTGGGGTTCTTGGTTGGTAGATCGTCGTGCACAAGTAGTGGAAAAGGGGTAACAAACTCATGCTACGAGTGTACCGATTACTGGGACTCTGAGCAGCAGATCAACATCTAGTGCACAGAATGAGGATGGGCAGTCGGCAGCTGGGCAAACCGAGTGGAAGTCCGGCGTTGGCGTTGTCGTGGTGGCGTCAGCGACTTCCTCGTAACTGTACGAGGTCAGTGGTTGTAAAATTATGATTGGCTATTAAAGACCCACATAGGTTCGGCTCGCATATTTAGCGTCATAAACGCGTTGATCTCGCGTCTCTTGGAAGCCAGACGCGTCGAGTAGGTTGGTTTGGTTCCCTTGCGGCCCGCACTCTCGCTCACCCACACACCAACACACTCACACACAATGCAAACGGCACACGACCACATCCTCTTTCATCCGCCTTCGTGGAAAGCATCCATCCGAGTCAGGACCCTTTAAAGGGGTGCTTCGACCCAGAAGTACACTCTATTGTTGTTGTGGGCAGAAGTGGAGGAGCACGGGAACCGCTGGACACGCGAGTCTGTGCCTTTGCAGCGTGATGGAGAAAATGGCTGCACCTGAAGCATAACCGAACAAAGTGAAGCGAGCACTCGTAAGGAGACAAGCAAATGACAAGAGGAGCCCAAGTAGCGGGAGTGGTTGATATTGAAGGAGCATCGGGAGTAGCTTTGCAGTAGGCGGTATAGAGTGCGAAGAGCTGTTCCTTCGTCTTACCATCTCCGTCGGCAGCCCGTTACTGGCAAGACATATGACCATCGAGGTGCAGAACCCTGAACTATCGGGTGAACATCTGCTGGAGCTACTGTAACTGCTACACCTACTGCTGCTGCTACTGCATGCGCTGCTCACCTGGCTGGTGGCTCTTTGTCTTTAGTCCTTCAACTCGCCTTCAACACGTAATTGTCTCTGTTCTGCGCAGTTAGTGGCTCCGTCAATGGGGATAATAAGAACAATTCGACCTCTCTCCTATCACCATATTCCTCTTCCTCTTCCTTTTTTTCCTGTTTCTGTCATTATTCTTTCTCTCCCTCCCACCTACTAGATCCTAGTGGTGCGGCTTTACTTTTGGGGGTTTTGTGGCAGCCTGGGCAGCGGGCAGCTTTAGCCATTATTTCCTAGCTGGGTGCCCACTGTACCTGGTTGGTTAATCCCTAGGGCGTGTGTGGGTGTGCACGAGCCTTGCCCCCTTCTCTTTCTCCCCCCTCCCCCGAGTCCACACCTCTCCTTCTCCCCTTCTTCCCTGTAGTGGTCCTCTCCACTGCACTGGGAACTTGGGTCTTTCCTTGGGGGGCCGAAGCCCAGAAGGTGAAGCCTACGAAGACCCTGAACCACGACCGACGCCCCCAAGCCTTTTTTGTGGCTTTCGTCCACTTCGTCCACTTCTCCTAGTCTCCCCCCCCGATCATTCCTTCCTTCAACCCTCCCAGACAAAAAGTCATCCGCCCGCTTCTTTACATTCCAATCCTTCCACCACCCAACAACCCAACTCGACTCAAATCCATATCGCCATCAACATCACGTCAACAAGTGTAAACAAATATTCTGTTTCACGACCTACATACAAACCCTCCCATTCAACACGTCCATCACGTCGTTCGACTCTATTTCCGCACCCTAGTCGCATCGACACACCCCGGTCTCGCCAATTTCTCACGACTTTTTCCCAGCCACCATCATTTTCTCAACTTCCACCTGCTGCCGACCTGTACCTCCCGTACTGCCACGTTTTCCCCGTCTGCGGTCTGCCGACTTGGAAAGTTGCGCGTCCAACACGCTTTTCTGCCGTCGCAATCCATCGCGACTGTTTCGAGTCGCCTGTCCTTCGCTGTATACCCATTGCTCATACAAAATTCTCACCATCTGGCCTGCAGCCGCCGTGGCGCCTTCAGATCGACTCTCGTCCGCGTGACTGACCGCATAACCGCATAACCGTCCGTCTCAACGCGCGTTCACAGCATGAACCCTTGAAAAGCAAAAACACACTCTCTCAGTCTCCTCGACAGGGCTGCATCGGTCGGGTCTCCGCGCCTGCTTGTATATATCGCGCCGAACACCTGATTGCAAAAAGTCAGCGTGCGCGCATACCACATACAACCCATGGCCGATCGCGAACCATCGCCGACACCGTTGTCCTTGTCCGCACTACGTAAACCACACATGTCCATCACCCTCCCTCGGAACTTCGCGCCTTTGGGTCTGGATGGCGGTGACGACCCTAAAACCCCAGATCAGACATTTGCAGAGGTGAAATTACCTCCGCCGCCCCATCATTCCACCTGTCGTTTGCGCCGGTCGCGAATTCGAATGGACAACTTCCAGGCGCGTAACAACGCTCTTCCGGCAACCCTGTTTGCTTCCGAGATCCCTATCCCCTCCAGTCCTCCCTCGGTACAAAAGGAATCTGAATACGTGGATGCCGACATTGCTCTACCGTCGATTGAATTGCACAATCCTTTGGGAAGACCTATCTATAATCATAGCATCACAGATCCCTCCCCGAGCGAGCGGTTGAAGTTATCCACCTTCAGAGATTCCCAGCTTCCACGGACCCCAATCGCCCAGACCAAGATCGTCCTGCCAGAGTATAAGAGCGGTGCTTGGGACATGCACAGGTCTGTCTCGGAATGTTCGTTTCGTTCCGATTCCTCATTCACATCGTCCGAGGACGCGTTCGCCACGCGACCTACCTCATTCGACGGCAGCGCGACGAGCCCTGAGAACGAGTCGCAAGATCCTTTCTCGCCGACAAAGGTCAACATCATTCCCGACACGCCGTCGAGGAAGAACAAGAAACTAAAGGTCAACACCATGTTGTCCAAAGGGAATGTGCAATGGAGTATTGAAATGGACAATCATTTATTCAACGTCTACCAAATGTATCTGGCGGACCCCACTGTCACTCCGTTCAAAACAGTGCCAGGCAGCATCCCTCCAACAGGTGTTTGTCATCGTGTGGCGCGCAGAGCGAAGGAGACGTGGCCCAGGGCATCTAGGGTTAGCAGGCCTCTCATCCGACGATACAAGATGCGAAATGTCATTGAGACGCGAAACATCACCAGGGACAAGACGCCAGAACCAAATGACTTTCTCCGGACCGACCACAACGACACCAGGTGTGCCTGGCCTTCAGAGTCTGCCACAAGACGGCGATTAAAACAATTGTGCAAAGAGAAGTTCACCATCACCGCCCATTACCAGCGATTGCGGGAATCCAGGAGCCCTTCGCCATTCCATGAACAATTTACCCGTCGGCCAGCCTCTCGTTTGTCTCATTTAGGTTCAAATCAAGACACACAAGTGTCAACCGCTTATGCCACCAGGGAACTAGGCATCTCGCTCGTCGCTAGTGGTGCAACGGCTCCTCTAGCACAGCTCGTTACGGGAGATTCGCCTCCAACCCAGCAGATGTCGGATGACTGGTTCAATACCCCGATCAACGCTTCGTCCGACACCATGGTGCTCTCTACCCCAGCCGGTTTAGGTATCCAGTCGGAACCCGACAAGTTACAAATTGCGGGCAGCATCCCACGCTTGGCTTCGCCGTTTAATTACAGTACTTGGAATGGGTCAGGTAACTCCAACACTCAACATCGACGCCATATTAGCCACCAGCACTTTGATACTGTTCACGCCACTGGGACGCGGTTGCTCTCGCCGTTCAAACTAGAGCCAGAGAGCTCTCTCAATGTCAACAAACGACGAGCTCAGCATAACTTGGAGGACGAACTCAGCCCCAGCGGGAGCAACATCGAAAAGCTCAATGTCGACCTCAACCGGCTCCCTGCCCCAACCACATTTGAGCCAGAACCCCAGGTCCGACCTGAGCTGGTCTTCACCGGAGCAGGGGACATCAATCAGCGAAGAATTCGAGTGCGAAATCGTGGTGCAACGTTCGGCGCAGTGAACAACCGAGAGCACGTCGAGCGGCTCTTTACTCCACCCACCTCTCAGTTTCCGAGTGCTGATGGCATTCCGCCGGTCCCACCTTTACCAGCTGCGTTGACGGCATTGGCGAAGCCCAATGTTCGGCCGAGCTCCGGTGGGCTTGCCCCGCCCGAACCTGATTCGACTCAGAAGCGACTAGGGAGCCCATTCGAGCTGGATCCCAACAAGCGAAGCTACCGGTCCAAAAACCCTCGACACGTACCGAGTTTGAGCGACCCTTTCATAAGCACCAGCGCATTCGCGACGACACCAAGTCACGGACACAACGCGATGAGCATCGGAGAACGACTGGCAATGTTTAATACTTTTCATCCACCCCACTTTCCGCGACAAATGGCCAACCCGCGATCAAGGGATGACCCGTTTGCTTGATGGAGAATCCGTTTCGAGTATAATGTTTTGATTGAACAACGATGGTTTTGCGAGGAGAGCGTATGTTTTGTGAACCCAGTGCCGGACGCATTGGTACAAGTTCTTTTGCCACGGCGTTGATAGGACAGATTCAAAGCGAATCATATTTGAAAATCTGGAGTGGAGAAAATGGGCGAGCTATTGGCGAGAACTTGCATGGAGGAGCCTTGTGCGTGTTTTTTGATTGATCAACACAGCGATTTGCATGAGCAGAGAGATGAAGAAAAGCTATTTGCCCTTGGAAGTTCTCATTGGGGCCAGCATGAAGATCAACAGACTTGATGATTTCAGTGTTTCAAGATACCGATTGGAGCTTGCCCCAGCACATGTGAGAGTATTGGTTGCCACCAGACGATTCAGAAGGGGTAACGTAGTCTCGCGGTGGTTTTATCGATTCTACACATGCATGCAGACAAGACAGATTTGATGGGGATCAGGACAACTTTGAGAGCAGATGGTTGGTTGAATGGCCGCTTGCTCACAAGGCTGAGCCTGATTTCTCTGTTTATGAGATTATGACATTTGACGCACGACTGGGAACAAAGAATGAAGAATGAGCACGATCACATGTATATTCAGGTCCGGAGATGTGGCGTTTGCCCTCTTGAATTGCTCGTCGTCTGTAATACTTAGTGTTCTCGCCTTACCACAGGACAGCCTGGCTCAGCCTTGCGTAGCCTCGTCCCTTGATGTACTAGCCACCAACGCTTGGCCGTAAGTCTGTCAGCAACAACGCCAAACTTCTCTCTACCTAGCGTCACCAGTGTTCCATTCTCACTGTAAGAAACTTACACGTTTTCTAGCCATTTCGTCGCTAAGTCTGACTGGTTGACTTTGTTCCTGGTCAGAATCTGCACTGAGCTAGCCACCTCGACTACATTAGCATGACCAATCTGTCTGCATGATAGAATAGCATGATTCGCCAACTTGGATGACTAACCTGTTGATCTTCGGGCGGTAAGAATTGGTGAACTCGGTACGACAGTCTCATAGCCTCAGGGCAAAGTGGGAGGGTTCGAGAGGGGCCGCTGCACAGACTAGCTCCAGAAAAGCAGAAAAAGGATGACGGCAACTTGGCCCGTCTCTCCACCAAGCAATCGTGTATGACATGGGGAGGATGGCGAAACAGTCGACCGTGACGAAGAGCGCGACTTCCAAGGGTGTGCAGTTCATGAGCACCAAAACACCCGGCAATTTTCAGGTGACACGAGAACGAGACCGCCAGGAAGTGCGCGCTTTGGCGATCCGCGCAGCATCCTTTTCTCGCCCAAATAGGAGGAAGAAGAAGGACCGAAGAACAACCTCTCAAAAACCCCGATCCTGTTCTGATTCTGTCAAAGAGACGTCAGCTGGGAACACTCGAGGCGATCCGCCTGTTTCGCCTGTCGTTACTCCCGAACCCTATGGACTTTTGGGAAATGGAACGTCTGATCCCTTTGACTGCATGCCGGTTCCTATCACCGCTGACTCCCACGACATCCTGACCTACGTCCGATCGTTTACCTATGCAATCAACTGGCCCGATGAACTTGAAGCGTGCCGAGAGGGAGGGAGTTTGTACCGAATGCATCTCGTCATGTACAGGAAGTATTTCGAACACGCGGCCCCTTTGAGCGGCTTGCTGTCCTACGTGTACAACCTCATGGCCATCGCGCAGCCAGAAAGGGCCAATTGCTACCGCCAGGTATCGATGCAACATTCTGTGCACTGTTTCAGAGGCCTCCGAAAGCTGATCGACAACCTGGACTACTCGTACGATCAACTCCTTCTCATCTTGCAGACCATCTGGCCGCTGGCAAGTGCAGAATATTCCGAGTCCGTTCGAACAGGGGACGACAAGTGCTCCCAGCATCGTGACGCCTTGAAGAAACTTATTCGCCTCCTGGGAGGACTTCACAGTCTGCCCCTGGTATACAGAGAATTGATTGTGCATTTCTTCGCCAAGATTGCGGTCGTGACGGGCGTTTGCACCGAAATTGATCCCTTGTCGTGGGACCCTGGACCCTGGAGTGGTCAATACAACGTATCGATACCTCCCCAGTTTGACGAGACCCGAAACGTGGGAGGAGCTGGGCAGACTGGTGACCCACAGACTTTGGCGGATATATTCGCCGCACTGAGAGAACTGGTCGCTGTTGAAGAAGTGAAAAGGCGTGGGACTTGGTCCGATGAAGACCACCTCAGTCCGATATTCCGGTGGTCATTCTTGCGCAGAGTCGCCCTCAAGATGAGGCTGTGGAATCTTTGGCACAGTCCCGCCGATCAGCTCGACACACCACCTCCGCCAAACACACCGCGCAGATCGCTAGACTCCTCACTGTGTCTCGCGGCGCAACTATTCATATACCTAAGCCTGGAAGCGCATCCCATCAGACAACCATGGTTTTCGGCACCGACGCAACATGCAGAAATGTTGGAGCAGATCAAGGCAATGGACACGGTGCTCCTGCAGAGGGTGAAGTACCTCGACGCAACAGCAACGATACAGGTTCCCTCGCTGGAGAGGCTAGCGAACAGTGAGCCGACCGCGCATTCACAGGAGCAGGATCTTCTCTGGATCGTTGCCGTTGGGGCATGCTTTGAAGAGGAGGTCAGGAAACAGCAAGGACGAAGCCCGACCACCGATTTGACGGTGATGCCAACAGCGATTACTGCTGTTCGAGCAGGCCAACAGGGAGAGAAGAACCAGGTAGAGAAAAACGCCGTAACAACGACGCCGCAAACAGGCTGGTTCTTTATGCATTTTGGCCCACTTGCGAGAAAACTAGGGTATACGAGCTTCGAGCAAGTGCGGGAGTCGTTTCGAACGGCACATGTCTATGATGCGATGATGATGGATGAGACATTAGGGAAGCTGTTTGATATGGAGGCGTAGGGGATTGTCCCAAGGGTGCATTCCTGTTGTATTCATCATGTATGTAGCATGTATCAATGTACGTATTTATGTCTGTATCTCTGTAAGTAGGTGTCAAGATTTAGGTACCTATGTAGGAACGTACGAGTAGAGGCGAGGCTCCAAGTGTTATGCTCCGCGAGGCTCACGAGGCTTTCCCCAGAGTCCCAGCCAAAGCAACGAGTTGGTACCCACCCACGAGACACGGCGGGCTCACCAGTTGGAATTCGAGGGCCCCTCGCGGACGCTTTAGGCTTCAAGTCGCCCCAGTTAAAAGCAGTTGACGCGCCTCCGGAAGCTTCGCTAGCCAACCCGGCACCCCACGCGCAAGGACCCTCGGCCCATGAATTTCTGGCTGGTTGATCTTCGGGGGGGTTCCCCAAATTGCACCGTGTGCATCATTTTCCATGTTGTGCATTAAATACCCATTTCCCATTTCCTCGACGTGACACCCGCGAATTTTTGGACGCTTTGGCCGGGTGGTAATTCGCGTCTCCGATCTCGTGTTCTCTACTGAAAGAGAGAGAGATCGCCGAAAAAGTCCACGGTATATCTATCTCTAGAGAATCCTGTTTGTCTGGCCTGTGTTGTTTCTTCTGGTCCGAGTAAAGTGACCGTTTATTTACTTGCTGTGGTGAGTTGGGTTGAGTCGGTTGTGACAACTCTCAGAGAAGATTTCTTTGCTAACATGCATGGCAGGATACTTACTCGAGTCTGCCATTACTCTCGAGAAAAGTGCAACTCATTGCTCATCCTCAGATTGCAACATGGCGTCTCCGTCAAGACGCGTGCTTGGTGACAAGGACCCCAACGCGCCCATCCAACACCTCTCCTCCAAAGTGCAAGGTAGAGTGTCACAACTTGCCAGTCCCGTCGCACAACGGAGCTCTACAAAGCGGCCTCGTTCCCCGGAGCACTTCCCTTCGAATAGTCCTCGAACCGGCCAGAAACGGAAGATTGGAGAGGTACACGGCGAGGAACAAGCACAGTCCGAAGAAACAGTGGCAGCATCATTCCTCTCACAAACGACCGAGTTGCTGAGTGACACACGGTCCGAATATGATGAGGATGATGTGCAGACCTCGATGGCTCAGAGCAGGTCGACTCTGGCTACCGCGTTCACCACATTCCGCGGCTCACAGGAGGAGTCGTCCCTGATCGAGAGCGAGTTCCACATTCACGATGAGCCGAGCCAGCAAGCCCTGGACAAGATGGTACGTTAGGTTTCATGACGGGCCGTGTCGATTCTAAGTTATATATGTTAGCACGCCGTCACCCTCACGCAAAGCACGTCTCAACTTGTCCCGCCCCAGCGGCCCAGTCTCGCCAAAGAAGCATCCCAAGTCAGCTTGAGCATGTCCAGCCTCATCGACTTTGACACCAACCGCTCGTCGCAAGACGATGAGATGCAAATGATTGAGGAAGCCGAGACACTTGCTCAAAAGCCCAAGGCAGAGGAGGATGCCAGGAAGCAGATGATGCTCGAGGTAATTGGTCTAGGCCACTTTTGTCATCCCTTGCTCTAATCCCGTGTTCTAGAAAGCCGAAACTCTGCGGACTCGACTACAACTTGCGCTGTACAAAATACAAACCAACCAGATTACAAAACCATTCAGTCGTCTTCAAGTTCCCCGAATCACGTCCCCTCCACCACGGCTGTCTAAGCCTTCTTCTTCACCACAATCTTCGTCGACTGTGCGACAGACCCCGGCACCAGAGAGCTCGGCTGATCAAGAAGCACGTGTCGCTGTGGCTAGAGCTTGCGCGACCATGGGGCCTAAGCCGGCTGTCAAACAGCTGTCCAGCTTGCCTATGCCAGAGATAGTCCCGACCGCTTTCTCAGCGAGATGGAATCACGAAGTTAACGCGCTACAAGAGAGTCAGAGTAGCTTGATACAACCATCCCATGTCCCAAGCAGCCCTCCTCTGTCACAAGCAGATCATACTCCTGAGCCCTCTGTCATTGAGGCGAATCTGGATGCCAAGCAGAGCACGCCTTTACAGCTTTCTAGCCCGGCTCCTAGTCCGCGTGGAGAGGATGATGACGGTCGATGTAATTCCCTTCCAGTCGCTGGTCTCGCTAGCAGCGTAATCCAGGGCGAGGCTGCAAACAGTCTGCTGGACCTCGTCCGAGGTGTGAGGTCTGGCGGAATCGGGATGTGCGGCGTATGATCATTGAGCTCAACTCTTGCCATTTGCCATTTTTGCAAGTGATACCATCAAACTGTGGATAACGAGGCAGCAGGCAGCATTTTTCACGGAGTTTTTTTTGGGATGCACCGTAACAAGATCTATCCATATCATGCATGGCGTTTGGGACATTTGTTTCTTTGTTAGAAATTGATCTGCCACATTGGGCGACCAATGATTTCAGGGAAAGGATGCAAGGTGCAAGGTGCAAGGACGGGCACGAACGAGACATGGGCTTGACATGTACGGGCTTGTTGCGTGGCCCTCTGAATTGAATCATATTCTTTTGCAATCGAGCTAGTTTGCCCGATTCACTTACTCACTCGCTCTCTTACTCAGTGCTTTCTTTGTTTGTTTGTCTTCGGGATGTGACTCTGCTCTGACAGTGACGAGGGTTTGCCACAGTCACAGTCACATATGCCATATGCCACAGGACGACTACACACCACAACACAAGTCGGTTACTCCTTTTTTCTTTGTTTCGGCGGAGAGATGACGAAGATCAAGTGACGAGTTCTCACCCAATGACATATTTCCCTCCCTTCGAGAGTTGTGGTTGTGTTTGAGGGGGTCTTCTTTCTGTATACCTCACGCCGTATTCCTCCAGCTCCACCTCCCATCTATCTCTTTCTATCGACCTATTGATCTATCCATCCCTTCACTCCTCGATCTTCCCCAAGCGCGACCACAGATTCAAGAACAGACACAAACACCCCTTCAGAATTTGAGATACGGTCCAGAGAGGGCCAGAGAGAGAGGCATGACACACTTACAACCACAGCCACAATCCCTTACGACCTATTCATCATCACAAGTCTCCGACGGTGGTGGTAAAATGTCGTACAGCTACAAGACCGATCAGAATTCATACTACGAAGTCGACCAATCCACCCTCGCTGCAGATACGGCCACCACCACCACCCCGAACCCGTCGACGTTCGGACCTACGTCGCCTATATCCAGCACGTCCGACGCCCACGTCTATTTCCACTTGGGACACACGGGCCACGAGGTCGCGCCTAAGAAATTTCCTGCGTGTATCTCGGCCGGCAAAGGCGTCATCGTCCGAGAAGGCTTCTTGCGCGGAGCGTGGACATGTGTGCGGGCATTTGAGAGCTATGGGCAGGATTGTTGGTGGCATTGGAGAGGCGCAGACAACAGTAACAACAACGACGACGATGATAACGATGATGAAGACGACAATGGGAATGGCAAAGGACTACTACCACCACCACGGAGCGTCACGTTTCCTGCAGACCCCAGTACCGACACGCCCGCGCACATGATCCGCATCGTGGGATGCCAGATGATTGAGTTGTCGGTCCTCGCTGTTGACGATACCTCTTCCGCCCATGATAATGATGGCGACGGTGAAACCGCTGCACATGTTGGAGAAGGACACTTCATCCGACTTCAAGTCAAAGCGCTCGTCGCCGCGGCGAACGACGAATTCTCCCCCAAGGGCGGCACAGAGGGCTGTCCCATTTGGATCGGCGTCGACGAGTCTCCTGAGAATATCTTTCGCTCTGTGATTCGCCAGAGACCATCACATCAACACAAACAACGACAACAACACGGGATGTGGTAGGTGAAATGTGATGATGGGGAGGTGGTGAGGTTCTAGATACTTGTTTCTAGTTTCCGTTTTCTAGGTACTAGGTGCTAGGGACCATCGGTATGTGTGTCTAGGTGGGAGGAAGTGCTGTTCATACTGCGACTGCATACTACACACTGCATACAGCAGATACAGTGACTTACATCCATACCCGCTTTGAACGTACCTACCTAAGATGTAGGAGGTAGGTACTGTAAGTTTGGTAACGTAGCAATGAACGACCCATGCTCACGTTGTCCACTCAATTTACAAATACGTGACTTAGTCCCTACTGTATGTGGTACTAACTGCCTGTGGCCCGTGGTCCGTATGACCGACCGTCTTTCAATCTAGAGTAGATGAAACCTTGTATTCTGTGTCGAAGCAAACAAGACACCGCTGGGATATTGAAGTATACGAGACAAAAACGATAGCAAAGAGCAGTTCTCAAGTTGAGAATCAAGAGTTAGAGATCCAACAGCCCTCCCTGCTTTCTTGCTTGCTCAAACGCTCAATGAATGCTCATCAGAGATCAGAGATTTAGTATTGGTGTCATTTTACTTTGACCAGACCCGACCCCTTCCCATCTGTATGACTCTTGTCGATTGGTAGAATCGTCGTCGTGAAGGTGATGGTGACAGGCGACAGGCGACAGGTAAATGCCTTGACAACAAGATAGTAGTCTGCCCATCAGGTAGTCAGTCAGCCCGATAGCCAGCAGTCTTGCTCCGTTTGCTTAGAGCAGCAGTAGCAGCAATCAATTCGTCATTACTGTTGATGCAGTCATTGCCAAACGGACGAGAAGCATAGGATAGATGAGCCTCGCTGGAACCAAAAGAGAAAAACGCACAAAAAGTATCACAAAAGTCCTCGGTTTCATCTACCTAGTTTCCGCGACTCGAGAGTATAAAAACATTATTGACATTGATTTGAATACTCAAGCTACCGTCGGTAGGTACAAGAACCCCATTCTCTGCCCGGTCAAGCAGACAAGAACCTGAACCAGAACCCAGACCAAGCGCAATACACTAAATACAATTCTCCCGTCCTGACTACTCCTTGATATTTACCTTCTCTATCACTGTACATCCCTAGTCGGAAATGGCCCAACCTCCATTCTTCCACGTCGACCACGCCCGGGGGGACATCGAGGCCCTGGCCATCACCGTGCGCGGACCCGTCCAAGACAACGACGAGGCGTCGTGCATCAAGTCCGGCTGGTTGGGTTTTCCGGAGCCGCGGCCAGAGGAAGAGCAATAACTCAGGCTTGAGAATGACTCGGGGTCTGAGTTTGGGTCCGAGTCTGAGGCTGAGACTGAGACGGTGGAGAAGAAGACCAACCAGAGAAATATGAGCGAAGACACCAGCGGCAGGGGAGTATCGCCATGTCCGCTACCGCCGCGGCTGACAAGGAGACCTTTCCCGTGCAGCTGAGTCCCGGTGAAGGGGTCATCTTCCACTACGACCTCTGGGCAGCACAGCAGCACCTGTCGGCGGCCATCTACCCGTGGACGAACCGCGAGACGGGAAAATCCAAGGTGACGATGCCGCGGGCGCAGAATGCCGCCTACGAACTCGACATCGTCGGCGGCACCTACTTTCCCTTTGTGCTCAAGGAGTGGCACAGCTGGGGCTTCCTCAAGCTCAACGTCAAGTGCCTGGTCACCACGTCGGAGTTGCCGTTCATCCAGCCCGACTTCAGCCACCATCAAAGTACGCGGCCGTTGATGTGGATCGGCGTTGGCACCGAGACGACTCCGCCTGCCACGACGGCGACGATGACGATGACGGACGCTGCCAACAAACCCAACAGTCTCAGCCTGGTCCAGCTCGCGTACTGCGTGGGCGGGATGCACCAGGGGTCCAAACCGGCATATTGGGTCCACAAGGACGACGGTGGCGTCGAGATGATCTGAATCCACACACCTCCAACACTTGGGGCTATCAATGAGCTTGGGCTAGAACTTGTGCAAGGGCTTGAGGGTGTACATATATCAGGCTAGAGTGACACTTCACTGGAGCAGCAGGCCTTTGGTGTCGCAACAGAGGAAAGTGAGGGTCTTGTGGGCGGGCAACATGTTTCCAATTTCAGCAGAATAGACGCTAGACACACGGACGCATTTCGAGCAAGGAGTGCTTCTGTTAACAACGCTTAATGCAAACTTCTTCATTCAATATTGGGTATTGGGTACTGGGTATTAGGTGGGGGTACTTAGCAATGGGGGTTGAATGAGTGAATGGGTAGACAAGGCTGAGGACCCCCTGCCTCGGACGATTGCCAAAAGCAGCAACTGGCGCCTAAACCTCTCTTGGCTAGAGTCCACTTGGCGCTATCTGGAGTTGTTGTCAACTCACTCCCAGTTGATGCTTCTCTCAGTAACAATATCTCATCTCATGTTACTTGCGGCAAAAACCCCAATACGCGTGATGGGTATCCCGTTGACCCTCGCACAAACCTGTAGCTTCACCACGAGACACAAGTGTCTGCCACCCTTCGCAAATCTCGTTCTGGAACCTTTTCAATGTTGAAGTTGTGCACAAAGAGCCTGCGTCTATTCGAGCACTAGTTATGCCTTTTTGTTCATCCACTCGTCACAATATTGGTAGCCGCCCGTGCCATTCCTCTAACAGAACACCGCATCTGAGAGGTGGGCAACACTCTCGTCATTCGCTTGTTTCTCTTCCCCTAGAATGTTTCTGGTTCCTCGGCTCCGTTGGCTTCCAGGTCCGGAATCTCGAACCCCTCCTCTGTGCTATAGAGTATGGTCTGGATGTTCTTCACAAGACCATTTGCGTCGGTTTCAAGAGAGGGTTCCTGTTCGACCGCATTCTGCAGGAGCAACTCGATATCGCGCAATTTACTAAAATAGAAGTCCCGCTCTTTCTCCAATCCGGCGATGGCTTCTTTCAGCGATTCGTTTTCCGCCTTCAGAGCAGATGAACTGGCGCTTCCTGCACCGATGGCACGCGGTGCAGGTCGACCCACAGGCGTTGTCCCGGTCTTTCGTGTGGTGCTTGCGCCGGTGCTTGTTCGTGGAGCGACGGCGGTCGATGCTGCTGGGGCGGTACCGGCACTCTTCCTTCTTGCGACCGCATCGTAATCATGCCCCGGAAAGTATTGGTCCCAGAACCGCTTTGACCACTGTAGAAACTCGAGGTTATCCTGCATTTTACATTTAACCAGTTGCTCGACAGGCACGGTTCGGTCAATGGCGTGTTTTGTAAAGCAGTCTGGAATATCGCGGTCAGCTGGATGCCAATAGATAGAAAAGGAGACCTCGTTGTCCCCCCAGTGAACATACTTTGCAGGATCTTGAAGTTTTGTATGTAGGCATATTCGGTATTGACGTTGAATTTCACCCGAGCCATAGGAATATCAACTGGAGTTACCAATCAGCCGCTGTTCAGTCCTCCCGTGCGTAGCACAGCGCAAAGTCCCCTGGGACGAAAAGGCATCGGAGGAGACGACATACGGAAAATGGAGTCAAATAGCTGGCAAAGCGCGGCCCTATCGATGGATGTATTAGTTTCTGACCTCAAGTCTTCCAAGTCTATGACCTACCCTGTCCCGCATTGCTCGACTTTTGTGATGTTGAGTTGGAGCAAGCCGTTCAACCATGCCAGTAATTCTTGCCTGTATGCGAGTTAGCAACGCCATACACATTGCCTTGAGTCCCCAACTGGAACAGGCATGCGACGGGAACATTACCTTGATTCGCTCATGGCTGCAAGTATGAGGAGAGAAAGTTCGAAGACGAATTAAGGGACTAAATTGACCAGAGCCAGGGGGAGACAAAGGGTTCGTGTCAAGACGCCCAAAGGGAATAGTATCAATCGGCGCAAGCAAGAAGCGAAGAGTGAAATGCAGTGCCTTGGGGTCTGCTTGAGGAAGGGAGCAGTGTGTTGTGGGTGTGCAAGATACAAAGTGAAGGGAAATGTTTTTATTGCGACCGTGATTGTTGCTGCGGCGCAGGACGGACGGGGATATTGACTTGTGACGCGGGTCCATTTGGTTTCAGGGATCGGGGATCGAGGGGTTCATCAGCCTGCAACCACCGCTACCACGACCTCCAGCTACCCAGGTAATCAACCCTTGCCGCTTCACTAACATGCCTGGTGGCTCCGTGGCTCCTTAACTAAACCACTCGGGCTAGCCGGTTGGAACCCCACCAAACGGTTAAAGGAGCGCCTGCGCGTAGTGGCCTCACCAGCCAGCACTGAAGATTATTTGGCTCCACCTCACCTTCAAGCCACCACGGCGCCCAGAAAGAAACCATTTCATCTTTTATTGTGATTACACACTCAAGAGATTCTCATTGCATCTATTGCCCACTTCTGACCTTTGGCTCGATCCAACAATCATTTACTTCGTTGCTTCGCTCGCATCGCTGGCCGGTTTAGCTTTGCTGTCATCTCCCTTCTTCACCGAACCGCCCGCCTGCGCATCTGCGGGCGACTTGTTGGCCTGCTCCTCTGGCACACCCTTTGTTGACGGATTCTGGCCCTCTACGTCCGGATGATCGGGTGCAACCCCCGATGAATTGACCTCGTTACCTTCTTCGTCAACCAGTCTTGTTCTTGTCTCGTACTTGGTCTGGAAGGACGCTTTGCCCTCTGCCAATAACGCTTGGACCTGGGCTTCGTCCAGGAGGTTCCCATCCTGATCGCGATATTCCACACGCTCTTCTTGTCCAATCACCTTCCCTTCACCGACCTGAGGGGTGACTGCTGATGGGTTGTCTTTCCTTCCCGAGTCGATTTGCATCGAGGGAACAGTGGGAGTTGCTCCGCCGTCTCCAAAGGACGGAAGTGGCGTGGAGTATTGTGCATACTATATTTCCAGTCAGACATCATCGTTTCGATCAATTTCCGTTCGACTTACATCAGTGTAGAAAGTGTTGCAGTCAAAATCCCAGGTATCAAACAGTTTGACCGCTCTGCACTGGTCCTGGGTCCAGGGATTGCCATAGATTAGTGGGGCATACAGAGTAAACACGCCGATTGCAAAAGCCACAAACAACACGGCGACACTCCACCCGATTTCGGGATACTTCTTCAATCCCAGAGAAGAGATCCGATTGACGACAAAGTCAAAGATCTGGCACATAGCCATGATGGCAAAGTAGAGGGCTGGAAAGTAGTGGTGCAGGAACAACTGTCTTGCCATAAGGTAGAAGGGGAAGTAGTGAAAGGCCCAGGCCAGAACAGTCTGACCGATTTCGTAGTCGAAGCGTTTGAAGTTGACGTTGGAATAGTCGTTGCAGCTTCGCTGCCAACGGAGGACGGCAATGCCCTTGAAAATGACATAGGTCAAGATGGCCAGGGTAGAGGGCCACCAAATGGCGGGATTTCCGAGGAGATAGACCTGGCGATGGTCTTTGCCCCAGAAATTGATCCCACGCCGAAGAATGGGCCAAGATCCCGGTCGGGAGTCCCAGGCGTGCGATTCGGTCAAGCCGGCGTTGGTCCTCCACATGACCTTCTGCAGTTCCCAAAATTTGCCCAAAAAGCCGGGGTTTCTGTAGTTGACCTTTTCCGCCCCTTCTCCAAGCATGGGATGCTGATTCTGTTCAATGTACCATACGCTATTGGGGAGGGTGCCTCCTTTAGCACAAGTCACTTCCTGTTGCTCGAAGCCCCAGTCGGGTAATTTGACCTTGTGCGAGAAGAGAACGCAGCCTGTCATAATATGGACCAGCTTGAATTTCGTCTGGATCGTCCTCAGCCTCTTCTTGGCTTCTTCACCATCGGACATGGATTGGACAATCTCCACCCGGAAAAGATCGTTTGCGTCGCCTTCAAATCCCTCGTAGCCATAAGCCGTTACTTCGTTTTGCCAGTCGGCCTCAGTAACGGGAGGTCGGACGTCGTGAGAGTGGATGCGCCGATGGGTTGTGAGGTGGTACAGTCTGATAACATCACCATTCCGGATAAACTCGGTGAGATTCGACCACGCTTTAGGACCTGCAACGGTGACATTGTCCGCAGTGATCGGCTGAGTCTGGTTTTCGAGAAGAAAAATGTTGTTCTCATCCTTGTGGGGGTATAAGGTGACCTGCTGTTGCTTGCTGCCACCAGGATACATGTGTGAATGCGAATGGAGATAGCCACCTTGAGTGTTGTGATGTCGGATGGTGACTTCGCTGCCAAACAGCACATCAGCAGGGGTGTCGGCCATGCCCTTGTTGTTCAGTGTCGCTTGGAATTCAGAGGACATGAAACCATCGCCATCGCCAGGATTGACCAGGCACAGGAAATGAATTCCGAACATTCCCACATAGAATGCAATCGGGATGACGATCAGACAGAAGACTCTGGCAAATAGATGCTTGAACCACTTCCTTGGGGTGACATTGACGCTGTCGCCAAGCAGAACCCATAATTGGAGGATGGTCAAGGTGCCGACCCACGCAATGGTGAAGAGACCAACCCATTTGACACTGACTGTGGCACCCAAACCCAGACCAGTGGCTGCAAGCCAAAACCACCAAGTCACATCAAATGCGTGTGCAGGGCCTAGTTCATGTTGATTGGTGAAGCAAGTCCATGCCAGAGCAGTGAAGGCGGTACAAATGACCAAGGGCGAGTCCAAGAGAATCAGCCTCGATTGTGTGATCAGTCCATTTTCAAAGATCAAAAGCCCGGCACCGAGACAAGCGGTGACTGTTCGGCATCCGTATGCTTTCAAGGTCAAAAACATAGTGGGAATAGTGAGAACCCCGAGTATAGCAGGTAGGAGCCTCATCGAGACATAAGGGACTTTGGGTTCGAGATAATCCTTTCCGATGTCTTTGAAATCGAAGTCGCCGTTGAAGCCAGCAAGCCAGCCAGCCAAGGTGATGAGGAGTTTGGCCAAAGGTGGATGGACGTCCATGAAGAATTTGCCCTTGATATATTTGGTAGCAAACCCGCCGAAGCTATGATTGGCATGAGTGTTATGTCCTTGTGCGATGTGGTAGCTAACTTACTGGACCTCGTCGAAGACAACGCTCGTGGGCTGGTAAATCTTGAACAGCCGAACAACGCCAGCCAGCAGAGTCAACAGAGCCATGATTTGATAGTCTCCCGCGGGAAGCAAGAAGATATCATTGTCTGTCACACCTTCTGATGCGTAGCTCTTCTTTTTGCTCGACTGCGACCGGATCATATCGCTATTGGCTTGTCTCGAGGCCGGTGCAGGAGAAGCTGCTTTTTGCGAAGCCGCATTCTTCCGCGAGGTAGCCTGAGCCATGATGAGGGATTCAGGCCTGTGGCTTCGAGGAAGATGTGGAAAATGGAGAGGAAGTGCGCGGAAAGGCTGAACCGCAGAGGACACGGTCGACGGTGTCTGCGGTCCCCCTTAGGTTGGAATTCAAAGGAGAAGAAGCCTGGGTCAACGAGAGACAAGAAGAAAAAGGTCGGTCATTAGCAGGTCAAATAAGCATCATGACAAGAAGAAGACAAGCACGAAGGGAGAATGTAAGAAGGGGGTTGAAGGCTGAATTGCATGCAGAAGTTCAGGAGTAACACTTGACAACTTGTTCATTGATGGCTTGTGTCTCCGCAGCTGCACAGAGTAACTTTTTAGTTGGCCAACGTCCCAATCTTAGCACGACGCGCATGTGCAATGCGGCAGCCTCCTTTCCCCTTTGTGCCCTTGGAACCGAGCCTCCAACTCCACAGTTCTGCCTTAGCCACACGCTGAACCAGCCACAGGTTCAGATTTCTCCCCAAACTTCGCATTTTGTTTGGGAACAGGTTCAAGGGCCAACCAACCCCATATACTCTAAGCGACAAGCTGTTGGCACGCGCGAGTATCTCGGACTCGATACAGACCTGTTAACAAAGAACAGACCTCCGCAAAACCCTCTAGGCGGTTACTCAATTGACAATCCGAACCCCGACAGACGTGGTGGGTTGGCCCCAGCCAGCTGGTGGAAAGCAGCAACTATGGCACAGAATGGAGCAGTTCCTGAACTTCCAGAATCAGTCTCAAAACCTCCCGAAGGTGTTGTCCTACCGCCCAAGGACATAAGAGCCATCATCGAAAAGACAGCCGGCTATGTGGCGCGCAATGGCCCTGTCTTCGAAGACCGCATTCGCGACAAGGAACAAGCGAACCCGAAATTCTCCTTCCTTTCTCCTCAGGATGCATACGCTCCTTTCTACCAGTGGCGACTCTCTGAGGTGCGATCGGGACGGGGCACTGCCGTGTCCGCGGGAAGAGCAGGAGATGCGACACCTGTGCCAGAAAAGCCAAAAGGACCAGAACCGCCGCCCGAGTTTCAATTCAGTGCGCGCATGCCAAATATCAGTGCTTTGGACTTGGAGGTCGTCAAGTTAACAGCTCTACATGTTGCTCGGAAGGGCAAGAGTTGGATGACTGCTCTCTCACAGCGGGAAGCCCGGAATTACCAGTTCGACTTCCTGCGCCCTCAACACTCGCTTTACAACTTCTTTCAGCGCCTCGTTGACCAATACACACTCCTCCTCCAGACAGGACCGGAAGGCCAAAAAGCAGAACAGGCGCGCATCCAAGTCCTCCAAGCCAACATTCAAGACCGATTTAGAGTTCTAAATCTAGCAAAGCAACGATCTGAGTACACCAAATGGCAAGAGACTCAGAAACAGAAGAAAGAAGAGGCAGAAGAGGCCGAACGTATAGCATATGCCCAAATCGACTGGCACGACTTCGTTGTAGTCGAAACAGTGCTGTTCACTGAGGCAGATGAGCAGGCCGATCTTCCCCCACCCACAACGCTGAATGATCTTCAGAGTGCAAGTCTGGAACAGAAAGCGATGATGAGTCTAGCTAGGCCAGATATGCGCATCGAAGAAGCAATGCCTACGGACGATATGAGCAGTTATGCGTACAATGACCAGTTTGGAGGATACCCTCAGGCCAATGGGTGGGCACCACCGCCGGAAGCGGCTACAATATCAGCATATACTCCTTCACCTGCGCCACAACCACCTTCAACAGCCGTCCCGACACCCATACCATCATTTTCACCTGCACCTCCTCTCGCACCGTCCCCACAACCCCCATCAATGCCACCACAGCAACCACCACCTTCGACCGCTTCGCCAGCTCCAGTTCCAGGTCAACCTCCAATGCGCATTAAACAAGATTATATACCACGTGCCCAGCAACGTGCGGCTACCGCTCGGTCTGCTACGGCTCTGTGTCCCAATTGCGGGCAGCAAATTCCCATTGCCGAGCTCGACGCCCATCTGCGGATCGAGTTGCTGGACCCGAGATGGAAAGAGCAACAGTCCAAAGCCGCGTCGCGGTTTTCGACCACGAACCTGGGCGGCACAGATGTTGCAGCGAACCTAAAGAGACTGAGGGCGAGGACAGATGGAGTTACCAGCGACCCTGTCGCGGAGGCAGCAGCTAGGGTCTTGGGCGAACAGGAAGAGGAGGAGAGGAGGAAGAGGATGAAACTCGAAGGTCCGCCTGGGGCGACAGCGTATTCCGCCGCGGGAGCACAGAACCAGGGCGGGCAGCACGTCATGGATGTGCAGGAGCAAATACGCCAGATCCACAACAAGTACAAGTCGTGATGATTTGGGCAAAATGTATGTACAGTAGTACCTTTCTAGTATCTCTCCCCAGACCAGCGTCTTTGCCGTGGAGAGGAGTCTTGGCCTCTATGAGTGGAATAGCCCGTTGCAGAGGTTGGGATAAGAATAACCACGAGAGGATTTTCTGGAGCGAGCCAGCCAGATCTATGCTTTCTGGGCCTGTATCGAGTCCACCAGATCTGAGCAGCTGAGCAGCTCTGGGGGTCGACGGTAGGGATCTCTCCACCGACGTAATGCTGGCGCTGTGCTCTCCGAGTCCCACGGCTGTCTGCGGTCAGTTTGTGCTAGCCATCTCAGGTCAGCGATAGACCGCCATATGCCACATGCAAAAATGATGACTGGGACGATGCGAGTTCGATTGAGAGAAACGAGACGAAATTGAAAACATTAACAAATATATTATTGTAATTACCGTGTATTTGGTAGATCTTCATCCGTCAGCCCCAGAACCGTTCGATCCTCATGAGATGTTGCTTGTTACATATTCTTGGATCCAGTCATTTAAAGCATATGACGTACAGGACACTGTTGAGATCCTCGGCAAGAAAACCCAGGGTTGCAGCAGCCACAATTTGGATAAACTCGCTTGAACGCATTTCCCACAAGAAACACCCAGGGTATCTCATCGCAGACAAACTTTCGTGCAGACTAAAGATGACAGGCCTCCAAGAATTGCAAAGATGAGTCAATGAAATGAGCGAATTTTCGTCTTAAAACAAGTCAAGTAGCAGATTGACTCGGGATAGTTGTCCTGTCATGGAATGTTGCATTACCATTTGTGTTGTTGTTACTGAGAGTCGTGTTGGTGGTTCCAGAGCCTATCCGGGTTGCCTGGAGGGAACCTGACCTCTCGTCCTTGGAACTTCTTTCTTTGGAAGTTCTCGACGTGCGAGACAGAGCACGATCAGGGATGACGGCGGTTGGACTGACGACAGGGCGGGTCAGGTCCTCTTCTGGATTGTATGCAGAAGCTTCGAGGTCATCGAAGTCTTGGCCAGGGTTTGCAGTTTGGTATTCGCAGCTCTTGATGAACCAGAAGAACCCAGATGCAACGAGCGAACCGAGCAGAGGGCCTACCCAGTAAATCCAGTGTTCACTTGGGAACGAGCGGTTAGCAACGCAGGGGCCAAAGCTTCGAGCCGGATTCAAAGATCCGCCGGTGTAGTACACGCCTAGATATTCTGTCAGTGGCAGGCAGGTTGTGCGGTCAGACTCCGGCTTACCAGCCAACTCAGCGATGAAAAGAGACAAGCCGATTCCCACTGGGGCGAGGAATGTCCCTTTGTGTTTTTCAGCCTGGAAGGAAGTGTCAGTCAGGAACGCATGGATCATCGTTGTAACCACTCACAGCCAACATGAAGATGGTGAAGACCAGTTGGGCAGTGAGAAACTATAAAAGATGTTAGCAGCCACCCCCGGGTCTATTATGTCAAGAGACAGACCATCTCAATGAAGAGTCCTTGGGCCTTATTTGTTCCCCCACTAAGAGAAGTTGTGACAGCGAGGGGCCCTGGGAAAAGTGCTTTGACAACCCCAGCGGACGCCATAGCCCCTAGCATTTGTGCGATGAAGACCAAGGCACCTCGAACAAAAGGTACGGCGCCAATAAGGCAGAGACCGAGAGTGACCTGCTATATTGTCAGACCATTTGTCCACATCTCTTTGCTCTAGTTTTCGTACGGCAGGATTGAAGAGGCCACCGGAAATTCTGAAGAAAATCCACGCGTTGACCGCAAGGGAAAACCCGAAGCACAGGCTAATGTATAGGAGCTGAATAGGATTCGGCCCTTGAGGAAGGTCTGTACTTGTGTTGCCAGTAACAGTCTGGGGAGTGTTGGCCACCTGGGTGCCGGCGAAGGCGAAGAAGCTAGAGCAAGGTCAGTACAAAGGCCTTTTGCGATAAGAAGAGGACGCTCACAGAAAGAGGAATGTGCCAACGAATTCGCCAGCCATGGCAATGAAATGGTTTCGGGGCTTGTTTGGAATTCTCAGGAAAAAGGAGCTGGGTTTTGGGCCCTGCATTTTCTCGTCTTCACCAGCAGGTGTCGCTCCAGTCCTTGATTTTCCTTTTCGACGTCCAAAGATACCGGGAAGGAATCCGGACTTGGGACTGATTCTATCCATCGTTGTCCGCGTTGAAGCTTTCTCACACTGCTGATACTAGATGGCGAGGAAAGGTGCGGGTTCTTTTGCGAGGAAGGTGCTGCCCGAATACGAGGCTGAGGCCGTGTTAGAGGGCAAGTATACAACAGACGCAACTGGTTTTACACCACCCAGTTCAAGAAGAACGACAGCACGTGAAAAAAACAAGGCGCCCAAAGCCCAAAAGATAGAGGGGTTTTGAGGAGAAGTAAAATATTTTTGCTGAGGATAGAGGAGATAAGGAAGGGTCAGTTGATCTACGTGTCAAGAAGTCATGGTGGTCTCCCAGCCGCATACGAAGGCTGTAGGATGGTCATACGGCTCTTGGGAAACGGCACAGACGCCATCGAAGTAAAAAGTGGTGGGAGGTTGATATGGCGATCGACGTTCAGTAGGCGAATGGTCGATGAATTGACATGGATGAGACATCGGTTTGTGAAGTTGTGGCATCGGTATTGGCATAGACATGACGAAAGCGGCACCACGGGAAACATCCAACAGGGCATGGTGCGCCCTCAGGTCACTCTTAGATGGGGTTAATAGGGCCAATCACCCCTAAAGGGCCAAAGCTAAGCTGAAATGGGGGCGAAAGAGGGGTTCATCACACGGAAATGGAGCCATCTAGAGGCCATAGATTGGCCCGCTAATTGAAGCCCAAAGCCTACAAGTAAATACCAAGCACAGACTTGGGGAGAGAACTCGTCAAAAGATCTCGAAAGCCAAGATTGATGGGTCTGGAACACCCTCGAGTACGAGTACAAGCACAGCCCAAGACTCTGAAATATAGAACACACGTAGCTCGAACAGAATAACATATACCTACTGGTAGCTCACATGCTCGAACTACAGATAGTAGCGGGTCAACAATATCTTCAATGTCATCATGACTTTTGCTCGCTTCGTGCTGGCACCATTTGGTGTCTGCGAACCCCCTGCGACACGTAAAGCACCCACCAAGGAGAATGCCAATCACGTGACACTTACCCTTGCCTGGTGGCTGCCCTTGTTGGCGGCAATCCCGCACTCGGTTTTCCGGCTCATTCAGTGGCAGTGGCCAGGGTCTACCAATTAACTCGTATCCTGCCCTGCCCAGTATCAGGCTGCAACTGGCACTTTTTGATCTGTGACAAGAACATCTTTTCTACACAACGCGAGCACCACTCCACCTTCGTTTGAACGCTCGTCCCGAGTTAGATCGTCTGTTGCACTGTTGTCGTCCTTGTCGCAACTGCAGCCAGTTTCAACCGCATGGAGGATTGTGCCACTCCCTGATTTGTGGCAATAGCCAGTTATATTAGCCCAACATGCGTCCCCTCCGCTTCTTGTTGTTACTCTTCTTTTTTGTCGCCCTTCCTGTAGCATTGACCTTTTGGTCATTGCTGGCTGCGAGCGTGAACGCTGTCGACTCGTTTCAACCCGGCCTCGACACGAAATCTGGGCGCCTTAGGGCGTTCTTTTCCTTCTCGACCCCCTCCTCCCTATTTCCACCTTCTGCGGTTATCAGCCTAACCAACGACAACTCGACCTTCTTCCTAGCCAGACCGGCTGCTTTTGGTCCCAGCCTTCCGTCCAAGGGCTTAAGTGGCCGGCTGTGGGTCGGTAAGGGTTTTGGGGACGATGCTTTGCTGAAGGAAGAGAACATTCAAGTGGCAGGGTGGGAATTGGGCTGCTCCGACGTTCCAGGATGGGCTGAAGAGAAGGCAAAGAGCATCAAGAATCTTCCAGCAGTCGACCAAAGTCAGGCAAGGACAAAAATACCACGAAGCATAGACAAAGATGGATCATTTCGTGACGATTCCGGACTCCTCTCCGACGAGACTTTCCTTCAAGACGACGGTACCGACGACTATTTACACCGGCCTCTACCTGACTCGAACCCTGCAACCCCTGGCGAACCAGGCGAGCCTGCCAACGCCGATCTCTCAGACAAGAAGCAGGCTACTCACGCGGACATTGAATCACTGCAAGAGAGCGCCGACATTACAGGCAAGATTGTCATGCTGAGCCGTGGCGGCTGCGGATTCCTGGAGAAAGTCAAGTGGGCTCAACGTCGTGGGGGTATTGCCCTCATTGTCGGCGACAACGAGAAAGGAGCGCAGTTGACAATCATGTATGCGAAGGGCGATACATCGAATATCACGATCCCTGCATTATTCACTTCATACACATCAGCCCACCTCCTATCTTCACTGGTGCCTCAAGAAGACGGTGACGACGAGGATGCCAACTCCAAGGCTCACGATAAGGCCACAACGGGTAATTCTGGTGCAGACCAGAAACAACACGACAACCAGCCCATCTTTACGTCCACCAAATCTGGAGTTACGAAACCGACATCTCTTTCGGCAGCTACATCTGACGAGGAGAGGGATGAGAGTTGGATGAAGAATGTCTTGTCAGTCATGGGATTAGGAGATAACTCTCCGTTTTCTCATTCGGAAGACAGCCGTCGTCCACCTAGCAGCGGCAATATCGATTGGGTCCTTCTGGAAGATTGGAAGGAGGACGCTGGCCCGGGTTTGAAGGATAGCAAGAACACATTGACAAACGTCGCTACGGTGGCCACCTCGGCCCTCAAGGCCAAGTCAACGAGTACCAAACGGACTGGCGCGGATGATTTTGTGATAGGAGTCCAAGACTGGCGAGACACTGATCTTGTGGCACCGAAACCCACCACCACCTCGCAAAACGCTCCTGAAGAAGCCGGCAAGGGTTTGCCCACCGATACTGCGAGCTCGGCGAAAGCTTCAAGCAGTCCAGATTCAACTCTAAAAGGTGGCAGTATCACTCCTGGCAGCGGAGAATACGACCATGAAAAGTCAGAGCATTTGAATCGCTTCCAACGAGGTAATGTACCATCAGACCGGGGACATAGAAATTCCGATAACCATCAAGGCCAAGAAAAGGGATCTTGGTTTCATGTTTTCCGCTCTGGCCAGGGAACCAATGGAATTCCGGAAGGAAGCGTACCCCTTGACGAACACGACAACCAGGGAAAGGAAAAGAGCTCGAAAATAACCGGCTCGGACGACGAACCTGACCGTCCTGGTCTATGGGTTACTCTCACGCCCACAAGTGTCTCTGCTAGTCCGTTCGTCGACACACTTCTGGTACTGGTGGTCAGTCCACTAGTGACATTGACAGTGGTATACGCCCTTTTGCTTCTCCGCTCGAGGATTCGACGCCGCAGATGGCGCGCACCAAAATCCCTGGTCGACAGACTGCCAGTTCGTACTTATCACACTATGAGCACGACCTCGTCTACCACTACTTCGCGGGTGGAATCCCCAGACAATGCTTCGGCCACTTCACCACTACTTATTTCTGCGAGCCAGAATGTGTCACAACGACCTCGTCCGCGCTCTCAGACTACTACGGGCATCTTCTCCGGTGGAAGTGTAGAAAGTCAACTTTCGCACTCTCGAAGTCCGCACACAGAGAAACTTACTTCGAAACCGGCTAAACGGAAGCGATACACAGGTCGACAAGTCGAATGTGTAGTATGTCTCGAAGAATACGTCGATGGCGAAAGTCAAGTCATGTCTTTACCATGTGGGCATGAGTTTCATGTTGATTGCATCACGCCTTGGCTTATTACAAGGAGGCGGACCTGTCCGATATGTAAGGGAGATGTTGTGAGGAGCATGGCAAGGCAGGGTCTACAGCGGTATGATGAGGACGATGAGGAAGAAGATGATATCAGCGGCGATAATTTCGGAATCGGGCGGAGGCAAGGTGAAAGAACCAGCGATGATATTCAAACCCGTGTGGCTCAAACTGTGAACCGGGAACCAAGTGCAGCGATTCCGATTCCCTCTTTGAACAGAGATGATGAGGATGTCGAACGAGGGCAGGACCCAGACGTACCTCTTTTGGGCGGAGCAGAATCACTGAGCTCGGAAACTACCATCACACCGCAGAGACTCCGCCAGGATCATGCGAGGGGTACGGAGAGACGTGGGGACCGCGAAGGACAATCGATGTGGAGGAATATGGTCTCCGCGAGTGTTGGTCGACTCAGTGGAGATACACTCTGGAGACAGACACCAGTAGACCGAAGCCGGTGAGCTGGTTTATGTTTCCCTGGTTACCGCACACCTTGATAGGATATGCATTTGGTGTTGCCTCAATCACGGATGTCGGATGTCGAAGCTCCTCCTTTGTCTCCACAGTCGGGCATTTTTCGCAGAGGATGGATGCGACTGGCATTGGGACATGAGGAAGTGAGATCATGATCCCGCTTCGTCGTCACACCTTTGGCTTAACTGGGGCGACCCTGAGTTTGGGTATGGTGCCCACGGGGTATCACTTTATATTGTCTGTCGCAGGTGGAACCATGACGACGGCCTGAGTCCGGGGACTGTAATGAACACTGTGCAACAAGGGGCGTCTGTAGCTGTATTTTTTTTAGCCGGGTAGGAGAGGATACTACATCCCTAGTCATTCGACAAAAACAAAGCCTACAAATCGAGGTTAAAATCCCTCAAGAAAGCGCTCAGTAGAGCAAAGACCAAAACAAGCCAATTTTCACTCGAATCATCTTCATTTCACGGGGTATTTCTTCAACAAGGCTATATAGTAGTACATCGGTATTAGAACTCGGCTCGCCGGACAGATGGAGCCAACGTAGAAATGGGTTCAGACAGCCATCCATGCTCCTATATGGTATATGGCACCTTTTACATCTTTGCATCTTGTCCATGTCCTGTTCTGAAAATGCCTCCCTGACAGATTTAGTATCTCGCTCATTTGGTACCCTCAGAAGAAGATTGGGTAAACGAGGGAATCACAGCACAGCACAATGCAACACGATGGATTGGGGTCGTCGTCTCATCTCACTCTCGGGAAAGGCGTCCAGTTGCCCGTACCGCTGGCTTTCTTGCTGGTCCTCAGATCCTGCTGTGACGCCCTCTTTTTGACATTTAGTGGTGGGACTGGCTCCGGCTCCGGTGTACCAGTGGGATGCTCGTCGTCGACCAGATAATGCCGGGTCACCGCGCTGATGCCACTTAGATCTGGCTTGTAAGGCTGTAGGCTGCTGGGCATGACCCATCCTTCAGGTGCCGGAATCTCGACCTTCTCCCCCGTTTCTGAGTCGACCAGGAAATGTCGCGCCGGGAGGATTTCGACAGCTTTGATGGGTTGCGTGTAGGTGTAGTAGTGGTGCACGTGGATTTCGCGGGTGATTTCTTCTTGCACTATCTCCTTTGTGTCCTGTTTGACGACTTCGTGTGTTACCGCCGGTCGGAGAATCTCTTCAACCTCGGTATGCTCACTTTTCCCCGGCTTGAACCCGGGCGGGAGAAGTGCATGATCGTTCTTCTCGGCGTCGGCGTTGGGTTTGGGGGACGTTGTGCGTTGCGTCGTGTCGGTCGGTTGGACGTGCGAAAAGTATGAGCTGGGAATGTGGTAGAGGGGATTGAGTGGGGAGGGGTCGTTGGGGGCCAGAGGTTGATAGCGTGCCGTCCTGAAGGGATTGGGAAGGCCAGGAGAGCCAGCTGAGGATGACTTTTCGCTGTCGGAATCTGCCTTTGGACTCTGCTCTCCTGGCGAGGACTTGGGTCTTAGAGAGAGGGGCACATGAGTCGTCGTCGAGACGGTGGGTTTTGGCTCATCCGAGAGGCCCTTCTTCGATTTGGGACGATCAGCGGTTCCAAGTGACTTCTTTCGGAGAGAGGATGACCGACCGGGGACTCCATGAACTGGCAATTGGGGCAAGATTGTTGCATCTTTCGGATCCAGCGATGGTCCCCGGGGGTGGGGAGAAGTTGGCGGCATCGCAGAAACACTGGCAGACTTCTTCAACATGTGCTGAGAAGGGCGCTTTTGCAGACGGCTTCTTGAGCGAGTAGGACGAACGGCATGCGAAGGTTCATGACTGTGATTGAGGGTTGGATTAGCTGTGGCAGGCCGCGGGAATGGCTCTTGCCATTGAAGAGGGGCACCGTGGTAACTATGGCTGTGGCTGAGATTCCGACCGTGGTTCGGATTCTGGCTGCGATGTCTTTGTTTCCCCGTCGCGGTGGTGGTGTCGCTACCTGTATGCATGACGTAGGGGAAGCACTTCGGGTCGCAGTCTGCGGCATTCCTGAGCCGTTGAGTCGCTGTCATGGCCATACTGCACAAAACAAGAAAAAGTGGCTCTCTTGCCTCCAGCCTATTGAGTACAATTGCAGGTCTGTCAAAGGAGACACGAGAGGCAGATCGGGGTTGGAGAGGTGCGAACAAGAACGGAGTCACCCAGATCACCTTACCTTCGTTCCCAGGTTCCCAGGTTTCCCAGCTCCCTTTTTCTCTTCCCACGCTACTCACCTCCTGTTTGAGTCTTGGGTAAACCCTACTTGTTTTCCCCATTAACGGGATTTCTCAAGCGACAGGAAAACTGCTTTTCTGCATGGCTAAGCCTGAACCGCACGACCGGTCCACCTCGTCTACAAGCACAATATTGAAGACTTTACCCAAAATGGCGCAAAGGAACAACGGTCGTCAGGGAAGACCCATGAAGCGGATGTTCACCTCGAGTGATCCAAAATCCACAGCACCTGCGCCTTCGGAAGCGATTGGGCGATAACCCATGGCAACTTTGGCAGAGGTTCGACCAGGGCATACTAGACCAACCCCAAGCCACGCGGGAGTGCAGAAGGGCCTCGAGCTGGTTCCTTAGGGCTCCAGGGGAAGAGCGTGGAGGGGTCTTAGGCACATGTACTAGCGGGTCAGAGAGTGCCACAGTGGAATCGGTGGCGGGTGCTTGTAGGGGTTCAAGGATTGGGCCGGCAGATCAAGGATTCCGCCCCCATCAACAATTGAACAGGTCAGGAGAGACCTTCCGTTTGTCACCACTGTGGCTTGACGCTCAGACGTCAGATCAGCAGCGGGATTGGGACCCCTGTGAAGCCTCTTTTTGGACCTCACGAGCCACATTCTCGAACGATTGATGGTGCCGCAGTCCCATCATGACGCAGACAGCAGCTCTTCAGCTCCACGTCCCCGTGCGATGACGAAGTCTCGAATACACTCAGTGCTGGTATGAGGGCAATGGCCACAGAGACTTGAATCGGACAAAGACCATCCCCCACCTTGTGCTTTTACAGAAACGAATAGTCTTGTCGTCACAATATGGGGTTGTTTGACGATGGAAATGGATACCTTCCTGCGTAGATGACCCGAATGGGACTGCGCTTCAGACTCAATCTTTGGTCGTCAACCCCGCTAAGACTTGTTCAGTACATCTGGATCAGTTTCAGCTCATCCAGCATCAGATCGACATGCGAAAAGGGACCTTGATTGCCGAGATCAGATACCAATCGCCCACAGCTTTGCGATATTCGGCAAAAAAGTCGATCCGCTCTGACCTCACCTGAAGCGGATGGCCCAAGCTTAGCGCATCTCCAGATGATATCACGGTTTCTGCAAGGTTTGAAGTTGTCTCATACGATGTCCATGGGTCTTTGATGTATATAACGTAGCACTTCTGAGTGTTTGGGGAAAGGCTGCCCATCATCCCTCCCGAACGAGACTATTTTACTACTTACTACCTTGAAAGGCCTATCCAGACACAATGGAAGCAGCAAAAGCAGCCGTCCAGAAGATCACCGGTAACCGGGGCCACCACACCACGGTGGAAGAATCGGTCAACCCAGCAGTCACTCATGAAACTGTCAAGCCTCACCGGCATGAGGAAGCCACCCAAGCCGTCGACCGCGAGGTGCATCAACATCACTACCACACCACAGTGCAGCCTCTAACCCACACCGAAAGACTCCCAGAGAAGCATCATCACAACATCTTGCCCGTAGAGCACCGGGAGTTTCACCATGACAACGAGTCCGAGACCAAGGAGAGGATTGCCGCCGACCTAGGTCGTTTCAAGGACCACTCGACGACTCATGAGACTCACCACACCCAAGCCGCTGCACCGACCGTTACCGGAGAGCATGTACATCATCATGTCCATGAAACCGTGGTGCCTGTCGTCCACAAGGAGACCATCCAGCCCGAAGTTGTGCACACCACCGTTCCCATTCACGAGTTAGTTCCCTCCCAGATTGCTTAGTGTTGTTGACTGACCTTTTGAAGGACACACCATGCTGCAGCTCAACATCATGGACTTTCGGCACTACCCATGAAGACCTTGGACGAATTTAAAAAGGCTGGCGGGTCTCTCACTGGCGGAAGCCATTCTGCGCATGAAGAGTACCAGGGTGCGCCGCGACCATATAATGACAAACTTTCTACGACGTTTGAGAAGTTAGAGGAGAAGTTCCATGGCACTTCTTCGAGCCCTACCACCAACAAGACTCATCGACCTACTGACTCTGGGGTGAGTGGTGTTGGCCATGATCATGGTAACGCCGGTGCTCTGGGAAAAGAACACCACCACGTGGCCGGAAACGGACTTGATTCTACCAATCGGCATAACGATGGTGTCAAACCCAGTTTGGGCGACCGATTGAACCCTCGTGTAGACGCTGATCGGGATGGAAAAGCTGGCGTGATGGATTAACGTGGGGCGGATGGGTATCAAAGCGTGGAGTTATTGTCTTGATGGTCAAGACTATGGGAAATGAAACCTTGAGGGTGTGGATATTTATGTATATAGCAACGAGCAATACCCTATATCGACTGGTACACGGTATTGTATCTGGGATTGGTATCTTTGCGAGGGATAAGCTCTAGCAAAGATTAACATGTATCTAATGTTTATACAAACAACAAAAGCTATGCAAAAGTCACCCTGGTGGTTCTATCAGCAGCACGAGAAACATATTTGGCGATCAGTAATCAACTGCGCAACCTTTGCCTATTACTGCAGGATCGGGAATCTTTCCCTCCCTCTCCTCATTGTACGGCAGCCTCGGTTAATGGGTGTTCTTCTCCTATTAGTTCGATCCCTCATTTGGAGGGGTTTGCTTGGAAGTTTCCTGTTGGTCTACAAATCAAAGAGCTTGAAAGAGTCGATGCGGGGAATGTTTTCTTAGGAGAGAAATCGTGTAATCGGATCGGATTGGATTCGTCTTCGCGTTTAGGCACGAAGTCCTTTGTTATGAGTACGTGATTTCGAGTACGC